TCGGAGATGAATGAAAAAATAAGGAAGATGAAACACTTCTTGCCGTGCGTTAGGCTGAGGTTCAAATATCCTCGTGAAAATTTAAGTGAAATTCTGCCGCTGCGTTTCTCAATAACCCAGTGAAAATTCACATGGTGCAAAACGTGACAACCTAATAATATGGAATATTATCTGGCACAGTTAGCTTGCTGCATTTGACACCTATACCGTGTTTATGTACCTACATTGCTTCTTTATTCTAATGCGCATTGTCACTTCATAAGATCGAGCCGTGAAAGTACAAAGTAGATTAGAAACGAATATCTCAACTGGTTCCATTAACGCGTATCAGGTATCCGATAATACGAGTTATAGCCGTGGCGAAGTGTATATGGAGATTCGGCAACGCTACAACATGCTTCTAGCTCACGCGTAGTCGTATATATCAGCCGGAGATCATGCACTTTTATTTTTTTGCACACCGCGCATAAGCCGAGATGTACCCAATCGCAGATGATCGCGTCAAATTGAACAATCTCCGTGAACCACTCTAAAGAGCCCGCGAGCGCTGAATAAATACAGTCTCATTTCTCCAAGATCTCTAGATCGGGTAATAGATCTGTACGGCCCTGTCCAATAACATGTCCCGCAGCACACACGAGTGTCATTATGCCGCCACCGTCCCCTACAAACACACGTACACAAAGCAAACACGTCCGTGGTCCCGGCGATGCTGCCTCCTCCGGCGAATCTTGTTTCCAGCGAGCGGGGTGAAACGTGTTTGTCATCTCGCCGCTGGCGCCGACCACCCAAGCTTTGTCGTACGGCGATAGCGGCCTAGGCGCCTCCGAGGGGCGATACCTGGACATCTGGTACTGATTTGAGCGTCGGCGGCTCATCAGTCAGAGATGCACAGCACGGTGGTCCGACGCCCGTAATCGGCGGAAGTTCGGCGTCGTGGCTTTCACCGGAGCACGAAGACGACACGTGTCGCATCTCTGCGCGGACCCGAAGGACAGCGGTGCTCCGTAGAGTAATTTCAGCCGGGCAGCGCCCAGCGCGTGGAAACGGCAGGGCGTCTTGGCGCTGCTCCTTATCTCCACAAAATGAGGCGGCCGCCTTTCTTCCGTTCTGGCGGGCCGCGGCAAAGGGGTGGCCCGCCAAACGCAACAATGCAGACAAGTGAACACACCACCGGATGCGTCATCGGGTGTCTCTTTGAATGGGTGATAAACAAGCAAAAGTTAAGTGTTCGGCGCAGCCTAAAGCTGCATCAAGTATGTAAAATACGATTCAGGGTAAAAATGTTTGTGTTTAAGCACAATCAGTCTTTGACCACATATTAGACGGGAACAGAGTAATCCATAGGTCCGGCATCTTGCCTGGTTGCCGATCGACAAAGCGTATCACCTATCGCCAGTCGACGTGACTGGCGTCTCAACGACCGGCGAAAAAATAAGCAACACCTGTTTTTGCGACGGAAGTTCACAAGTATTTTTTTTAAGTTTGTCCGGTAACGCAAAGCGCAAAGATTGTGCTTAATAATATGCACTGCCACTGCCACATGGTCAAGTTGCGCCAGCTATGGAAGAACAACAATTCACAAACACGAAATACATAGGCCCTCCGAGATTCAAAGAGCGCCCCCACTAAGCCTGCTGTATTGATCATTTCAGTATGATTTTCGAAAATGGATGCCGAATCCGCGCGAATAATTTGCTGTCTAAACTTAAAGACATGAATCTGAAACGAGTAATAGCACCGTGTTCGTAGCGAACGAGCTGCAGACCGCACGACGGTCACTTGATGGATTCCAGGTGGACTGCTTTCGGTGGTGCGGCCTGTGCACCAGCTTCTCCGCAGCGCATGGTTACTAGCGGTGTCGGAAAACAAAGGCTCCCATCTGCTACCTTGAGGTAACATATACAGTGTCCCTAGAGCACATCGCTGTTGGGTGATGCCTAGCGCTCATTTTTTGTGGACTTTCAACATCAGTGAAGGTAAAACTATAATTCTTTTTTTTATGGGACAAAACCATGCTCGTTGCCGCCGATGTGATGAACGATCTTCACATTTGCGCCACAATCAGAAAAAAAAATGTTTTCCGAGCGGTGAACAGTCCCTTAACGCAGCTTCAGCACTCAAAATAATAATAATAGTAATAATACAATAAGATACAAATAAATAAAACTGCAACAATTACGATATTTTCGGTGTACCACGGTTAAGTGAGATTAATAAGATAACAGCATGAATAGCGAACCGACTTGGTCCATCAGCGAGAACAGCAGATTTCCTTGTTTCTTTCGTTGTTTTTTTTTTTTCAGAATTCCGGCGGCAACGTATTCGTATAGAAGTGCTCGCGCGTTTTATTTTCAATTTCGTTTAAATGTCAGAAGTATCTCAATTTCGTTAATTGACTGTTCGCTCGCTGTGGTCACCGGGCGCCCCATCGATCCTATCTCATATCTTTCACTTTACACGTACAACACATGCACCCCTTTCTGAATCATTCAGAGCGGTGAGAAAACCATCGCGCGTGACAAGGTCACCGTGTGATGCTGGCAGCACTAAATTTAGAAAGGAGCTTTTCAAATGAACGAAACGTAAGGTTCTGCAGAAAGCTCTCTGATTCCAATCAGCATGACAGGTGCGTGGTTTAGTGTGAAACATATGCCCGGGCCGGTAATCATGGCCAACAGGTTTGTAACTACATGCCTGGCTTAGCGCGCCGCTATCGAAGGAGTAAAATATAGAGTACAGAGTAGACCCTAGAAACTCTGGCTCATACACACACTGGGGGACTGGCCAAAAGCCGATTAGTTTTTAAAAAATTGTGAGATCAAAGTTCAAATTCTGATTAATTAAGACATAATATGTACAATTGAACAAGAACTAAGAATAGAATAAAAATAAAGCCAATTTGAAGCAATGTGTCGCCCGAATTTGGGGAAAAGAAGCAACTCTATAAAGTATAATTTAAACTAAACCTGTTTGAGCCTTCCGGTCATTCAACGATGACGTAGCTAGAGCACCTGCAATATCATTTATACGCAGGCCCTCGTGCCCTGGAACCCAATTTAACGTGATTAAATTTATGGGCATTGGAACCAATGATTTGAAAGTATTGACAACGTACGTCTCTTAATTTGCTGTGGGGAACGAACGTACCGACAGCAAATTCCTCAAAATTATTGTGGAGCTTATACTGATGCTGATAATTAACGCAGAGCTAGAATGACCGCTGAGAGTTCTGCTGCAAAGATGAGCTGAAAATGGGGAAGACGAAGGGAAAAACGGCCATTTTAGAGTAGGAGAGAAAAGCGCAATTCCACATTTTTCTTCACTTTGTGAATCCAGGTAGTCTAAATTTCCGGAGCCCTCCACTACGGCGTCTCTCATAATCATATGGTGGTTTTCGGACGTTAAACCCCACATATCAATCAATCAATCACTTTGTGAATCATCCGTCTAGACATATGACGTACTGTCTCTATTGCCATATATATAGCGTTAAAGTGGTGCTAGGTTAGTTTTACATCGTTTTTCTTTAATGTGATCAAACTGTATTCTGACGGAATCGTTGCAATTATACTTATTATACACATCTCATTAATTTGAAAGCGTTACTTCGTTGCTTGTATCACAACATCTTGCAGAACCTAGCGACCATGAGTGCAAAAAAAAATTTAATAAATGCAGCCATCGCAGGTATGCCGGTCGATGCGTAATTGTAGGCGCCGTTCTCCGATATATGACGCTCTGTCGACCGTAGGCTTGGTCAACCGCCCCAGAAATGCTGATCTGATCTATCTGTCCAGGTGATTTGTCATTCCGCGTTTGCGCATTGCATCGTCGCCTGGATATGAACCCACGACAGTCGTTGTTGCCTGTAAAGTGATGCGCTTGTTGTGCGCTAGGGTAAATAGATGGGAGAGAGCATTGTGCAATGTGAGAGAAAGAAAAGTGCTGTACGTCAAGCACGCAGATGCAAGCAAACCATCGCTATGGCCCCCGCAATTCTCGTGATAGGGCTCGGTGGCTTTTAAAAGTATGTCATGATCGTTGAAAACAACTCTTCCGTGTTACTCTCAAGTGACGCGTTGCTAAAAAAAGTTCACTAATGTTTGTGCGTAATTAACTGCCACTTATATGCTCTCGCCGTGCTCTTACTTGAAATCAATAGTTTCGCGAAGGATCCGTTGCTCGAAGCAAATAAAGTTGTTGAATCAGCACAAAAGGGCAGCAATATGGCTGTTGGCTGGATTCGAGGAAGTTTGTCCTCGCGTACACCACGATCGAGATACACATCTAATTATCTTTTACACATGTACAGCGTTGCTTCCGTAGTTTTAAGCTTTGTGCGCGTAATCGTGCTGCCATCGTGCAGTGCCATTGTTGTTTACTGCTGTCAGTGAAATATTAGTGCCCCCCAGCTGAATGAAGGCAGCGGACGATTAATACAAACGAAAAATGCTTCGTCGGGCCACCATTCCTCGGCGGTCCCGCCTAGAAAACCTCTTTATTCGAACGTTTGAATTCCCTTCGCTGCATTTTCTCGTGTTTCCATTTACTTCTTCCTTCTCTTTGCGCGGTTATTTGAATCCTCGCCGCCCGGGACCGTCTGTCTCCGCGACGCTTCGCGCCTTCTACATTGTTTTTCATTAGCATTTTTTGTCCTCCTCCCTTTTGTCCTATTAAAGCCGCAAAGCCGTAGAGCGGTAAAAGGTCGCGTGTCAACAACCTCGAAAGATGTAGGAATGTGGCGGCTCCTATTGCCCATCTTTTGAAGCAGTAGGCGCTGCCCGATGCGGCGCGTTCGATTCTAACGTGACGTTGAAACCTTGCACTGACGTCACGAAAACGCTGTAGGTGCAGGTTTTTTTCCACAATGTTTCGTTATTCGAAAGCAGCGTAGCGTCAGAAAACAATCAAATCGAACGCGCCGGCTACCAGTTGCGAAACGGGATTGGCTCGCGCCCGCTAGTAGGTTGGACCACGGTGTAAGAATAGTTGGTTGGAGCAATAGTGAGCGCCGCTGCATTCCATCGTTCAGTTGCCCGTAGGCCTAGCCAGAGCCGTTACGTTGTTACCGGCGTCTCTGTGACTTGCGCGTTTCGCCATAACGCGCTTCTTTCTTTCTTTTGTTCGACGAGTTTTCAACGGTCGCAAGCTATCCTTCGTTTCTCGGACGCATTCGGTGTGCATGGCGCGCGGATTGGATTATTAGCGCCTACCTGAAGCCGTCGTCTTCACAGCGACGTTTTGACTCGCGCTTGGCGCGCAACGCTACACACTCAACCGGGCGTCCCCCACCACCCAATGGAACAAACCGGCAAGAGGACCGACAAGAAGAGAACGCACAAAGACGGCACCCCGGGGGAACCTGAGGAGTTCATCGTTGAAAAAATACTCGACCGGCGCGTGAGGCAGGGCAAAGTCGAATACCTGCTTAAGTGGAAGGGATTCGGTGACAGCGAGAACACTTGGGAACCTGAGGAGAACCTCGACTGCCCGGGTCTCATATCGCAGTTCGAAGAGAAGCGCAAGCGAAAGGCCGAGTCACAGTCGACCAAGATGAAAGACGACGCCGACGCCCCGAGCCGCAAGAAGAAAAAACAGGACGGCGACGCCAAGCCACGTGGGTTCGACCGCGGCTTGGACCCGGACCGAATCATTGGAGCCACGAAATCATCGTCCGGTGAACTGATGTTCGTGATCAAGTGGAAGGATTGTGACGAGGCTGACATAGTGCCTGCTCGAGTCGCAAACATTCGCTGCCCGCAGGTGGTGATTCGTTTCTATGAAGAGCGTCTCGCTTGGGACACTTAATTGCGGCGGGCGAGACGAAGACACCTCCGAGAAGGCGGCCAAGGCTTAGCAAGCTCGAATGGAGGGAAAAAACAAAATGCCCGCCGTTGATCATCCACCGGCTGCAAATTAGCTCGTCCAGCGTTTCGCTCTTGTTCGAAATGGGTGGACTGGGCTAACTCTTCCAAAACCACTGCGTAGCTCCTGTTTTTCTTTGTGTTCTCCTTGTGGTATTTTTTTTCTCTTTGCTTTGAGTTCTTTTCAGCCATTCGTTCCTCTGTTTGTGAGTTCTTCAATGCTGTTTTTATCCGGACTCCCTGCATCGGACACTGTGCGGTGACAAAACCAACTGACTGTTTTTTTTTGTTTTTTTACGGTGCCGTAAACGTCCAAGCTAGGACTTTTTTCCGTGCCTACGTATTGGCTTTATGAAAATATGTAACCTCATATGCGCGGGAACTTCACAGCGCCCGCAAGGCTTGTTGGTCGACGTTTACGAAGTTGAAAAACAAAATCCATAGCTTTCAGGCAACGAAATGTGATCCACCGTTTGAGATGTTTGTCTTGACCAGGTTGCGGCCTGTTAGCGTATAATCCCCCTTTTCTTTCTTTTTTCATTATCTTTTTTCTCGCTACTCGTTCACATATCTGGTTTCAATCGTTCGTTGTGTTGTTGTTTGCTATTGTACAAAACAGGAGCTCTCATTAAAGAACTTTTTTTGAACCCTTGACAAATTTATTTGGCGGGAAGCATCATTCCTTTGCCTATCGTGGTCTTTTTTTTTTAACGGGTCACTGCTGCTGTCAGCCGTGTGCTGTATTTGTAGAACTGTTGGGACGGTTGCATATCGCTTTTGGGCCGCTGTTTGACATAACGGTGCGCCTCAATTGGCACGGCATGTCGTATCGTAGGTCACTGTTTTTAAGCAACTCTCGGCTGTGTCATGCACTATCTATGCCTTTCATAAGTAGAGGTTTTCAATTTATAAACATATTTCACTGTGCCCCGTGCACACTTGAAACAGTGATATGAAGAATGCCTGCAGATTCTTGATGCAGTGCTCTCTTTGGCACTATGCCGTAAATTTTGGATCCCGGTTCGCCACTATGAAGCAAAAAAAAAAAAAGGTTGCACAGTTGTAATGAATATGTCAGCCAGCTTTGTTGTGTCTAGCTTCTGAGGAAGTGTCGCGTTTCTTTTGTAAATTCAGCAATAATTTCGCGCTTTCGGAACAGTGCAGTCTTGTGTAAGTAGGAATCTTGCACGACAGAGTGCAAGATTCCTACCTAGACAAGACTGCACTGCTATACTACTGTAAGCCAGTGGAAGATATGCAGTTTGTCCAATAATGCCATGCAGAATAGCTAAGAATCTGTCCCAGATTATGAACACTGAAGTGATATCGTATAACTAAGGCTGGGTTTCAAGTGCAACTGTATTTGCAGTTTGTCACGTAATGTCACACAGCACAGGCAGGACTTGCTGTTGCGGTATATGAACACGGAAGTGGCATCTTGTTTGTCAAGTACGACTACTTCTCCATGACTTCACTGCGGGCATTGTAGCTGCATGCAATCTCAGGCACACTTTAAGTTCTCGATTGTCTCAGCTTGCACGGGGGAGCGTGTTTTCACGTCCAATGGGTGTTTTTTTTTTTTTTGTCGGGATTTATGCACATGTAATCAACCAGACATTGTGCTTACTCTGACGTAAACCATTTCACAGCATATCGGGGGCAAGGTGGACTGGTAAAGGCATTACAATCTGCACATTTCGAATGGAAAAGGTTCGTTTCAACTCCATTTGAGGCCTGTAGGCCAGCTCCTGTAGAAATTTAACGCCACGTGTAATAAAATTTTTAAATTTCAACTTAAACCATCATAGAAAGCTTGTGCAGACTAACATTTCTGAAACTAACCATACTACCCCATTACCGATAGTCGAAAAACAAAGATGGTGATTTGGCTTTCGAGATGTGTGAGCAATCTCGGAGGTAAAGTTTCTGAACATACACTGCAGCTACATCTGCCATGTGCACTCATCTGTTTAGCTGCAGTTTGAAGGCTATTAACTATGAAGCTATGACATTACGAGCCCTGAGGCACCTCAAATATTGCTCCAATGGTGTGTGCTACTTATAAATTGCCATGTTAAAACTGTGTCGGCTCCAATTAAATTTGTATTTCATAAACTGGAAAGACTAGAATGAATACGAATGGAGGTCACATATTTCAGGACTTGACTGTGAGGGACTGGAAACATGCCGACATTGAGGCTATATGGTCGGCATTCCCAGTCCGGGAAAGCGCATGACGAGGCCTGGACTCGCACCCGTCTCACCAGGGTCCGTTGAGACTCCAGCGAGAAGCGGTTAAGGAGGGCGATCCCCCACGCCTCTCGGGAAGGTGTAGAAGAAGTGGGCTGGTGGAGATTTTTCGCAGGTGCCCACACCATGTGGAAGATGTCACAAACTTCCCCACAATGTGGGCACCACGCATTGATGTTTGGGTCAAAGTGTTTGATAATTGCAGGACAGAGTAAAGTACCTGTCTGCAGGCACGTTAAAGTTTGCCCATCTGCTTTACTCAGCTCATTTGCAGGAGCCTGGAAAAGGCGGTGAGCATCACGATAATAAAACATAATTTCTTTGAACTGCAGCAGTGGTGTACTGGTCGGTAGTCATAAGCGCTGGGGGGAGGAGCCCCGTAGGTAAGTGATCAGGCGGCCGCGTCAGCAGCCTCATAACCTTGTAAAGCCTGATGGCCAGGAGCCCATATTACACATTTCAAGGTTCCATCAGCAACAGCCCGTCTTAGAATATGGCTAGCCTAGGGGGATATCTCCGCTGCTAGATAGTGAGCACACACTTTTTTTTTTTGGAATCCGTTATCATCGTTGTGTAAATACAGCAAACAAAAATGACAATGAACGTCTTTAGAAAAACGAACAATGTAAACTGGTCTATGCCGAGTGCATTTCTCATTGGAGCTTGCCCCAAGTGGTCACCTTGCAAGTAAAGTGTCGTACTGCAGAGCTCTGTGGGTCATGTTTGACTTGTGACGACATCAGCAGGCATTTTGACGCGGGTCAAATGGTCTACCATAAGGGAGCAGTGGTTAGAGTGCCCGGCTGCTGAACCGAAGGTCGCCGGTTAAATCCCCGCTGTGGCGGTTGCATTTATGGGGAGGCGAAACGGTAGAGACCCGTCCACTGTGTCTTGTTAGTGAAAGTTAAAGGACACTAGGTGGCCAAAATTTCTTGAGCCCTCCACAACGCCTTCTCGTATAATCGTAGCTTGGTTTTGAGACGTAAAACCCCAGATATTATTACCATGCATGTAAAATGCATGAACGCCTGGGTAAATACAAACAAGCGCACATTGAGAAACCCGAGGCATTCAAAATCGACCCAGTGCCACCCTTCATGGCATGCCTGTCAATATTTGTTCTGGCACGTAAAACTCTCAGACGTTGTCACTCATTGTAGCTCCCCTGGGCTCTCACCGAAACTTCGGCAGGCTCTCACTAAACTTGTATTCTTTTTTTGTTCTGGTGGTTTTCCAAGCTTGCGGCTACAACATGCATCCAAGAAATATTTGTTCATACTTACTTACTGCTAGCACAAAGCACGGATCTCTTTCTACTCCAGATGGAATGGACAGCTCGCACATAACGCCATGCACACATCTTTGGACATGCTCGTGCTACAAAACTGCAACTACAACGGCGTCCAAGCAGCATGTTTGCTGGCGTGGTTAAAAGTTTACATCTGATAAGGACGTCGCTGGAATGTTGCTGGCATCTCTGCCTGAAAAACAACCACTTGCTAGGGAGCCCCTAAACAACTCGGAAGTTCTGAGACCACGAAGTGGCTTTATTTTAGCTTCCAATATCCTTCCTAAAAACGCTGTCTCAATCTTGTCATCTATTTTATCGCGCAACATGGGGACAGTGTCGGCACTGAGCTTATGAAAACTTCGCGATTTTCATCTATATGCCGTTATTTCTGCTAGCGCAGTGAAAAACGCACGAAACAAAGTGGGATTGGTTGATTGTGCACGATAGTTCTGTGATACGAGGCCGGACAAACACGCGACTGCACTGCTGAGCATAGCAGGAGACCGTTCGCAGCTATTATATCTCAAATACAAACCAATCAAGAGCCAATTTCCTGGTGGATGTGACGCGAAGAGACCACTGGCACAAAGAATCGTGACAGACCACTGGCACAAGGAACTAACGCATGGAGAGAACGACGTGCTTATTCTCTGTAATTGTAGAAGTTGCTTAGGGGCCATCGAGCTATCATGTACAGACAATGTGCTCATGTTGATGCTAAATCTGGCTTCCTGCAGCACTGGTAGTACAACACGGTGGCTTCAGGGACGTCCTGTGCTTGTCGCCGGCAAGGTTACTTACCTGCGGTTGTGACACATATTGAGGCACACGACAGAAGTTAAAGAAAACTTGGAGGCATGACACGAGAAATCGTCAAAATAGAAAATCTGCCTGAAGCGGTACTGCCCCTTTGATAACTTCTGGTCATGTTAGAGCTGCGAAAGATTCAGGTCAATTCATTTCAGTTTGTATTTTATTACTCAGAAATGCATTCAACAAAGATACATTGATACGGGAGGAGGTCTCAGTCTGCACACATCGTGTTAGTACACCACAATGTGGACAAGCTTTGACGAGTCAACTAGACCATCAACTACTCACCAAAGAACGCAGGATCGAACCCCGCCGTAATTGCTGCTTTTCAAAGGTGATGAAATGCTGTAAGCCGGTATACTTAGATGCAGGTGCACCTTGAATAATCCCAGGTGGTGAAATGTACTGGACTATGGCCGTCTCACAATGACATCATGGTTTTGAGACATAAAGCCCCAAAAATCATTATTACTGAGTAAATGCAACATAATAAGTCAATAAATTTTTTAAAAAGTGGCACTGTGTCAAATATAAATTTAAACACTGCTTAAAGGAATCAATGGAACCCTCCTTAGTAGCTACAGCTAGTAGATTCCATAAGGAAGCTGATGAAATACTTGCTGTAAACTTGGCACACTTACCTCTGGACTTGGGTGACTATAGCTACTAAATGCAAGGAAGCAGAGAGAGAGAGAGAGTAAGAATTTATTAGAAGGCAGAGATGTCGGCCTGAGCTAGTTCGCTCTAGTCTGCTACTCTACGCAGGGGATAAGGGAAAGGGGAAGGAAAGAGGGATGAAGGGTGATCTGCAGGGAAGCAAGTGTGCAAAACACTGCCTGGCTAGTATTTTACCTCTCTATCAACTGACATCGATGTTTGAAGCTTAGGCGGGCTGTGGGGATTGCTCAGTGTGCTTGGCAAACCTGCAATGCTGTATTTGGTTCATACTTCATTTGATTTTAAAGGGGCAAAGCCACCACATTAGTGGCTTGTGGGTTCTCTCCTGCCAGTGTTTCATATAGCTCCAGGAAGCAAGATCCTTTCATTCTCGCTAAATAATTTAATATTGAATTTTTTATGCGGACAATTTTCAGTTTCTGGGCGCAGAGTTGGGCTCTGATGTAGCAGTGCGCGTAGCTTGGTCATGCGTGCCAGAGCATCGGGGCTGCAGCAGCTGCGGTGCTCTGCCGGCATATACGTGGTGGAGTTGCGGCATGAGCATTTGGGGTGGGTGGGTGCAAAGTCAGGGAGGGTGGTCACCCACACATGCCTGCGCCAATAGGCTCGTGTACATGGACGCGACG